TAAGAAAAATAAAAGTGATGTAAATACCATGTTTCCCCGAAAATAAGACATCCTCCGAAAATAAGTCCTACTTACAGGTTTCCTTCTGAATGAAATATAAGGCATCCCCAAAAAAATAAGCCCCCCCCCCCCCCCTAGGCTAAACATGAGAGATTTGGTCCACTGATTCTGAAAGAAATGGAGTCACAAGAAATTCACCAGGAAATTCAGGAATTGGATTGTTATGATGATGTTTCAGAAGACGATGACATGGTTGTCATTGAATAAATGAGTAAATTCTTGATACTGTAGGATTCACAGTTTGTCTGGTTTGTGTTGGCAACTACTGTACTACTGTACCGTATACAGGTAATAAATTTCCTTTATTTTCATTTAACAATAAATGTGTACTGTATTCTTCTTCATGGAAAAATAAAAAAAAAACCCTGAAAATAAGACCTAGCACATCTTTGGGAGCAAAAATTAATATAAGACACTGTCTTATTTTCGAGGAAACAGGGTATTGCAAAAGAAAATGTAAATTATTATCTCAAATATTATGCTTGTATATTGTGACAAGAAATGTTATCATTAATAACAGATCCCAGTAGTGGAAAGGAATATGGAATAAGTAAATTTTTAAATCCCTAGCTTCCCTTTATATTATTATAAGCAAGTAAAAAAAAAAGTAGAGATATAGTGCCATTGACAAAAATGTTTAACACACAAGATTTATTCTTTCATTTAGCACTAATATTTTTCTTGATACAGGAGTACAGATTTAAATTTTTCAGTCTTTGAAGTACTGACATATAAATAAAGGTCCCTCTGTAAAATAGTCCATCCTATTACTCTACCTCAATGTGTAATCATAAAATTATGTAAAGCTAAAATTAATCACACAAAAAAATTGATGTTTTTGGGAGGGAAGGAGGGGGGAAAAATCAATAAAATATATATTTTTTAAAAAATTGGGCAATGGACCTCAATAGATACTTCTCCAAAGTGGACTTACAAAAGCCAATAAATATATTTAAAAATGAAAAAAAAATTGATGTTTTGAAAGCTGGTGGTTTCAACACAGAACCAGTTCATTTGATATTAATTAAAGTCATTAAATCATAATATAGTCTATAGGTAATATACTAAAAAACATTTTTCTATTGTAGTAATTATGTTGCTAGAGAAGCATGAATTTAAATCATTACTAGAACTGAAATTTATTCATTTTATATTTATAACACGTTTAGACATATTTGATTAACAGTGAGTTCACTGCCATTTCAAATAATAATCCTGCAACGCTACAGGATCTGAGGTCTTGGTTTCTAAAGTATTTAGTGGCAAGTCTGAAGAAAAGAAGCACAATCTAGATAAGAGTACTTGGATTAAAATGTATGAAAGGAAAAACCTATTATAGATTAATTTTATCAAAATACTTTCTAACTAAAATGATCTTTTGCTGTTTGCATCTTCACAGAAAATAAAAAGAAACTATATACTCTCATGCAGCATTAACCTCAAAATTCTGATTCAGTCTTACTTTAGTAATGAGCCAAACCAAGTTATTTGCACAATTAAAAAAAAATGTCTAAAAGCCCTATGGATCCTTTATTTCAAGGAGAAGCATTTCTTTGAAAAATTAAAATAGGGAGAATACTGTTATCTACAATGAATGAAGTACCATGATTAACATAAGAAATTTGTAAGTTGCAAGGAAGTAGAATAATGTATATTTTCTAATGAAATGATAATTAAAGACAGGTTTCTTCACATACACAGAAATTTCCTTAATGCTTTAGGGAAGTGATTAAGGTGTTGATTAAAAAATACTCAATCTCACCCGGGCCAGTTTGGCTCTATGGTTGGAGCATTGGCCTGAGGACAGATGGGTTCTGTTCAATTCCAGGTCAAGGACACTTGCTTGGGTTGCAGGTTCGATCCCTAAGCACAAGTGGGAGGTGACCAATTGAGATGTCTCTCTCCAGCAGAGGTCAATCTTTCCCTTCCCCCTCTCTATTTGCCCACCCACACCCTCTTTTCTCCTAGTCCCCTTTCTCCCACTCTCTAAAAACTCAATGAAAAAATATCCTCGGATCTTCAAGTGAGGTTTAAAAAAGAAAAACTCTTGATCTCTATATATGATTCCAAAATTATTTTGTCAGGTTATTAATTTATTAAATAGAAATGTTGAGCACCTACTGTGTACAGGTATTTAGTGTGAGACAATAAAAAAACACTGCACTGGAAAAGCACATTTTGGGGGCACTATTACATCTCAAATGTAATACACATCACGTGGCTGAGAATTAATTGTATTTAACACATACAGAAAGAAATTCCGAGCAATCAAAAACAATTATACCTTTGAGCAACTCTATTTTTTAAAGTACCCTCTCAATTCCCTTAAGTTGATTTTTACTCCACGATTCTTTCCCAGTTCTAAAATGAGATAGGAAGGAAATTTCCTAAGTAAGACCAATGCAAAAGAACAGAAATGTAAGAGAAGCAATGTGTTAGCTCTTGGATTCTTGTTTCCATTTGCTCTCTATAGTGCTTCCAATGTTCAGTTTTCTCTTCAAAAATATATTGATTTAGAAGAACAAAAAGTACTATAATCTGTTCAGTTCTTACTAAAGTTAGCAAAAAATTGAAACTGAAAAAAAATATTAGAAATATTTATTCTATGTTATATAATATCATTCACCATAGTAATGATCTGATTCTTTTGGTATAAGACTTTTTTTTTTTAAATAAAGACCACCAACAGGTAGAAAAATTTTCCTTTGCTGTCTTAAGACAGTCATTAGGGGATTTTTTACCAGCATGTTTGTTCATTAACTTGAATGTTAATTTCAAGAAATGTTGCTTTGGCCAAGACCATTTGGCTCAGTGGATAGAGTGTCAGCCTGCAGACTGAAAGGTCCTGGGTTCGATTCCAGTCAAGGGCATGTACCTTGGTTGCGGGCACATCCCCAGTAGGGGGTGTGCAAGAGGCAGCTGACCGATGATTCTCTCTCATCAATGTTTCTAACTCTCTATTCCTCTCTCTTCCTCTCTGTAAAAAATCAATAAAATATATTTTTTAAAAAAGAAATGTTGCTTTGTCACCCCAATATCTTTTAGAAAAGTAATTTAATTGGGAAAAGAAAAATGCCATGTTACTTCTTCCTCCCAAGCAAAGAAAATGCAAAATGCATTCCTGAGGGGTCTCTGTTTCTACTTCTCTCTTTCTCCCTCCCTCCCTCTTACTCTTCCTCCCTCTCCCTTCATACACACACACACACACACACACACACACACACACACATATGTATGTATGCATATATGTCCAACAAATATTTGACATTGACCTATTTTCTTTTTACTGGTTCGTTATGCTCAGTGTGGTTCTCAATCTGCCATTCCTTTCACATTTTATTCAATTCATCAAGGAATAATTGAGTACCTGAGTGTACTGAGTATCTTCCAGACCCAAAGGAAGATGCAAAAATAAGACAACCTCTGCCCTCCAGAATCCTTCCATCTCTTCCAGGGGGCAAGGTGAAAACAAAATGATCAGAAAGCAATTCATTAAATAGTGCCAAAATCAACAGACAGGTAACATGCATTTCATATTTATGTAGGATTTTAGAGCGGCAAAACACTTTCCCCTACTTACCCTCAGAACAATCTTGTTATGTACACATTGTTAACCCCACTGAGCAGTGAAGAATCTGAGAGTGAGAAGTTTAACTGCCGTCCCTCAATCAAATCCATCAAGTAAGAGTCAAGACTCAAGCCAGAATTCTAAATCTAAGCCCAGTGCTCTTTGCAATATACTCGGTACAGGAAACCAAGAATTGGGATCCTTGGCAGGGCAATACCTGGCCTTCTGCTAGAGGTGGAATTAAACCAGATCTGATGGGATGTCAGGAAAGCATAAAGCCATCTGAGAGTCCAGCCAAATGTCCAAGTTAATTTTATTCTGAAAAGATTTATACTTCATTGTTACACATGCAGCACAACCACCATTCCTCAGTTTTAGTGCCTTTCCCTCTTCAATAGGAGCCTTGCGCTCAGAAACGGGGATGTAAAAAAAAAAAAAAAAAAAAAAGCTGGCCTACAGGGAATCATACAAGTCTTAAATGACAAATATAAATCTTACAGATCTGGTTTCCACTCCTTCTTACACATTGTGCTCGCCCTCAGCACCAGAGAACGTAACGCGCCCATATCATAGCTTTTCTAGCATTCTTGCTCCAAATATAACCACTTCTTTTAAAATGTCAATGACCGACCCCCCTACCCCACATACCACAGGTTCATCCCCCCAGCTGGCCCCAACCCCTCTGTGCCCAGACACTTCCCCTCCCTCCCAATGGATACGATACCTAATTCGGGTTCTGCAGGTGCCGCCGCGGTGCTGTCACTCAGCACCAACGGATACAGAGTGACCTTTGGACTCCGTCCTTGGCACCTCCCGCGGCGCACGCAGCGCAGTCCCAAGCCCGGGAAAGGGGCTCCCCACTCGGGCACGCAGCCGCGCGGGCAGCGCAAGATCCTCCGAAGCAGCAACGTCTCGGACAAGTAGGAGGAGGATGCCGGGCGCCCGGGGGCGTGCATCACTGCGCCCCATACTCCTGCCAACTGCAGGGAACCTGGTCTGACAACCAGTCCATCCCACCTCCCAGCCAGGTCCGGCCCAGCCGGACCTTACTCAGGACCCGGATGAAGATCGGCGGCGGCAGCGGCGGCGGCGATAGCCAAAAAACAAGGCCACCCGCAGCCCCCAGTGTCCATCGCCGCCAACCTGAGACCTCTGAGACTGGACCGCAGAGAAGCGTTTCTATGGAAACCCCCCCGGGATCACGTGACTCTGTGATACGCCCAATTGCCTCTCCGCGGCACCGCCTAGGCCCCGCCCTCTGCCCCGCCTCCTTCGCTCCGCCCCGCCCCTTCTCTGCGGAGAGTCCGCGCCTGCGCGCTGCGTCCTGCGCGCCCTCCCTGGCGCACGCGCTCCGCTCCCCGGAGGGAGAGCCGGGCGGCGTGGGAGGCTCGATCTGGGCGAGAACCCCGGAAGGCGCGTGGCCAGCGCGCAGGCCCAGAACCGCCCGAGCCGGGGCTGCCGGCGACGCCCCAGAGCGGAAGAGGGAAGTGAAGGCTTCACCGGGCTTCGGGTTCTTGGCCGGCTTGGCTCGCCGAGATAGAGACCAGAGACCGCAGGTAGAGGAGGAGGCCTTGGCCGCCGCTCGGGATCGGGGATGTCGAAGAACACGGTGTCGTCCGCCCGGTTCCGGAAGGTGGACGTGGATGAGTACGACGAGAACAAGTTCGTGGACGAGGAAGATGGGGGCGACGGGCAGGTCGGGCCCGACGAGGGCGAGGTGGACTCCTGCCTGCGGCAATATCCTTGCATTTACCCCCCCCCCCCCCCCCCGACCTCCCCATCCCTCCGCGCACCCCGCCCGCCCTTCTCCCGGGACCCCCGCGCTGCTGGGGGTGGAAGGGGCGGGCCCTCCTGGGGGAACGGGCGTGGCGGAGCTGCCCCAGCGGCGGGCGGCTGAGTCCTGTGCCTGGGGTCCCCCATCCTGAGAGGACAGGGCTCTCCGTTTGTCACCGGGGCTCTCCGAGACCCCAGGAGCCAGCCCCTCGGACACCTGCCTGGCGGCGCACCCTCCACGCCGGGATGCCTCAGGCTGCGCCCGGGTCCTGCCTCCCGGACACTGGCTGCGCCGGCCGCGCCCTCACGGCGCTGGGACGGCACCTGGGCTGGTCAGGACTGATCAGGGCTTCGTTTTCCTCCAGGAACGCTGTTTTCTGGGGTCATATTAGCTCCAGCAGTTTATAACGGGGAGGGACGGGCATCTTCCTTCCGTGATTTTTGTTTTTGCTGTGATGGTTTTGTTTTGGGAGCGTTAGGATAGTTTATTCTTTGCCGGTCGAGATTGGGCGGTTGCTGAATGAGTCCCTCGGTCCTTCCAGCCTGGAGGCTTTTATTTTTCTTTTCTTTTTTAAGGTATTTGGCGCTAAATTTGTTAACTGGGCAAGGGGTGTGAGTCCAAAGCAACCAAAACTCCGAGAAGGAGGCTTGGAAGCCTTGCCCGCTGCACAAAGGCGGTAGAAAGGAGCCAGAATGCATGCATGTGGGGAAATCCCTGAAAAATATCTAAAGTAAACCCCAGAGAATGAGATAGAAGAAGACGAGCTGTAGGTTCAAAGCAGAGCCCATTTTTATAATCATGAAGTCGTTACCGTTTCAGTTAAAAAATTTGGCTGTCAGTTCCTGGGTTTGAATTTTTGCGTATTTGAATATTCATAACCTTGAACATTTGCATGAGCTCTCCTTTAGAAAAATGTAAATGTTTCAATAGCCAAAGCTGTCGTTTTAGAGATTGTCAATTACTAAATCCACTCATTTCTAGTTATGCTTGGGTGTTTTCATAACGAAGGCTTTGTAGACTCTTTCCTCATCAATGTCCTATTTAATTCTAGTGGGGAAATAGATGAGTGATAATATTTGGTAGGAACTACATTTGGTCTTAAAGGCATCTAAAATACAGCCTTCAACATGTATCAACACACAGATGTTTCTTTCATTTCCACAACTTTTACAAGCAGCTGTTATTACGGTGAATTATTTAAATATTTTATTATAAGTGTTTGGGGTCTTAAAAATGAGCCTGTCTATATGCAAAAGGCTGCTTCCCTAGAAGTCAAGTAAGCTTGGAAAACAACAGCTTATCACCAGCATAGGTTTTTCTTTCTTCAGAAAATAAGTGGTGGACATTAGTATTCTGTCTAAAAACCTTCTTTGTGATGAATGAATGATGTTTTGCGAAACTAATTTTAGATGAGATGAGATGACCCCTAAGTGGTTCTGCTTTATCCAGATAGTGGATCTGCTTATAAAGACACTGTCTTTTTTTGCTCTTGTTACAAAGAGAAGAGACAAATGCTGTTCAGGCACTCACAGATGGAGGAACAAGTGAGCTCTGTGTGGTTTTCCTTTTAGGGGAATGACTGTACATTCTGACAGTCTGATTGGCCATATGTGCTAACTGGTGCTTTCAAAGAGAAACTACATGTAATAGGTATGGCCTAAGACATTTTGAATAGCCTTAATGAAATATGAGAGAAAATATCCCAGAGTTCTCATCCAACAGCCATTGGATATGTTCTATAATGCCTCTTTTAATCCATATCAAGAGATTACTAATATAAGTCATTCATATTGCTAATCTACCAGCATTTGCTACCAGCATGTCAATTAATATAGAATATAATTCTAGAAAAGTTGGATCTTTGTTTTTTCCAGTTAGAATCACATGTTTTGGTTGAGGTTAGGCTGTTTCCTTTTGGGGCCTGATAATTCTGATACATAGTAATATTTTATAAATATTACTGAATAATATTTCCATGTGTGTCTTACTAGAAGATGAGAGATTAGTAAGATATTCATTTGATAATTAGAACCAAGGAGGGAAGTCTTTGCTTTATTAGACAAATCTAATGTCCTTTTTTGTTTTCAGTATTTGATCTTTGACTGACATACTTGAAAACAAAATGTTGAGTTTTCCAATATTGAACATAGAGACCATGGTGATTTTTCTTTCTGTGCATGAAGTCCAGTCTTAAGAGCCAATGGTTCCTGGTAGTTGCAGTGCTGCTTCCCTGAGGGTCTCCCTTTGCTGCTATCCCCCTTAACCTCCATCACAGGAAACATGACAGCCGCCCTGCAGGCAGCCCTGAAGAACCCCCCTATCAACACCAAGAGTCAGGCGGTGAAGGTGAGTCACACACCAGTGCTCTCTGCTGATCTCTTACCTATAAACACGAAACTCAAAATACGTTTCATCAATAACTTATTTCTGAAGGGTGGTTCAGAGATTTTTTTAAATCTGGATAGAATAACTTGGTCGATTATCACATCTATCTCCAAGCAAATCCTTTCTGCTCTACCTCCAACCATGTCAGGAATCTGGCCACTTTTGACCATCTCCATTGCTACCATGCTAGCCAGAACCAGCCTGTGTTACTGCAATAACTTCCTCACTGGTCTTCCTGCTTCTGCCTTGTCCCCGATACCCCTCCCCCACCCCCCCTCAGCTTATTCTCAACATGGCAGCCAAGTGATCTGTTCAAACGGCAGACAGATCGTACCACTGTCCTCAAAACCATCCAACATCATTTCCCTGAAAGACGAAGTCCCCCACAGTAGCCTGCAGGGCCTATATGACCTGTCCCCCACACACACACACATCCTCTCTCCTGTTCTTCCACGACTCAGCCCCAGCACTTGTTCTTTTCTTGTCTGAAATACTTTCCTCAGATATCCCACGGTTTCCTCTTTCATGTCACCTCCTCAGGGCGGCCTTTGCAAAACTGGAACCCCACACACAGAAGTCTAACTGTTCTGTTACTTATTTACCTTCAGGATCGGGCAGGCAGCATTGTCTTGAAGGTGCTCATCTCCTTTAAAGCTAATGATATTGAAAAGGCAGTTCAGTCCCTGGACAAGAATGGGGTGGATCTCCTCATGAAGTATATTTATAAAGGCTTTGAGAGCCCCTCTGACAATAGCAGCGCTGTGTTATTGCAGTGGCATGAAAAGGTAAGTCTTGAATTATAAAACCCTATGGCTGGTTTCTTCATAGTAGACAATAAAAATGACAACCCCTCTTGTCTAAAAATAATTCTGACTTCTTGGTTATATATCTCTATTATTACAAACAAATGCCTAAAAATAAAATTTTAGATTTATGCTTACTAGTGTTGGTCTTAAGAGAGTCTGATTTGCAGCACTTTTATTTAATGATTATTGTTTAGTAAACATATCTTGAACTTTGAATTAAATCAAATCTTTGAAAATAAAATAAGTAAGAAAAATCAAGAATTATTTGACAATGGCCCAAGGTGAAAACAACCCAATGAGAGGAGCAGATAAAAATTTGTGGTACATGCTTACAGTGGAATAAAATAAAAAAATTTTAATCCAAAAAAAAAAGGGAAATTCTGATGTATGCTACAGCATGAATGAACCTTGAAAATATTATGCAAAGTGAAATAATTCAAACACAAAAAGACAAATGCTTTGCGATTCCACTTATATGAAATATCTAGAATAGGCAAATTCACAGAGACAGAAAGTAGATTCAGAGGTTACCAGGGTTTGGGGAGAAGGCAAAATAAAGCGTTAATGATTAATGGGGGTGGAGTTTCTGTTGGGGCTGATAAAATATTGGAAATAGATAGTGGTGATGTCTGTACAGTATTATGAATATAATTAGTGCCACTGAATTTTACATCTTAAGATCTTTAAAAGTGGCGCATTTTGGATTATATATTTTACCCCAGTTTTAAAAAAACGGTTGTATATTCTCTAATACCTTACAATTCCCAAAACTCAGTTTTTCAGAAGCTTTTTTTCTGAGTGAAAATACACACATGTAAGATAAGAATAGGTAGTAAAAATTGCTGCTTAGCCTCTCTCTAGTCACTTTATCCCTCATAGCACAAATAAATGTGCTAACATGTATGGATAGGGTAACCATACTCCCAGTTTTCTCAGGATAGCCCCAGTTTAAACCTATTGTTTCAGCATAAATATGAATAGTTCCCCTTTACTCTGGGTACCAATTTGGAGAATAATTTCAGTTAACCCTTACAACAGCTCTATGCGGTCTGTAAACCTCTTTATCATCCTCAGTTTAGAGAAGATGAGCCAGCTTTAAAACCTAAGTAACCTATTCCAGTATCGCCGCAGGGTTATAGCAAACCTACTTCAGCACTTACTGTATTCCAAGCACTCTGCCAACTCTTTATAAATAATAATGCACTTAATCCTCATAAAAATACAAGGAGAAAAAGATTGATGTTATTATTTCTTGTTAGTGGGGAAATTGAGGCACATATTTTTTTAATATATTTTTCTTGATTTCAAAGCGAGGGGGTTGGGGTAGAGAGCAAGAGTGAGAGAAATATCAATGGTGAGAAAGAATCATTGATCCCACTGGGGGATCAAGCCCCTCTTTCCCAGGCCTGTGCCCTTGACTAGAATCAAACCCAGGACCCTTCAGTCTGCAGGCCAACTCTATCCACTGAGCCAAACCGGCATTGAGGCATATATTAAGGCTTCATTTTTTTTTCCTAACGTGAGTCACCAGTGTTCTTCCAGTCTTATCTCCTAAATGCTTCTCAAATCATCTACCCAGACACATCTTCCATGCAGCTGTTCACAGCATCTCTCCCAATCTGGTGTTATCGCTTCCCAGACTGGCCTCCCAGCTACCAGTTTTGCCTCCCTTATAGCCATTCTCCACCCAGTCATCAGAATGCTGTCTCTAGAATCCACATCTACCTTGTCAGTCACCTGAAAAATAAAGTCCAGGTTCCCAATCCAGCCTCACCTTAGTGTCATTCTTCCCCTTATGCTCCAGCAGGTCTACCTTTTCCCTGAACACACCAGAACATTTCACACCTCTCTGCCTTGCTCATGATCTTCTCTCTGCCTGAGTGCCTCTTTATCCTTTATCTGTCTCCTCCTCATCCATTTAATGTATCATTCTCTCCATGAAGCCTTATCAGACCATTCCACATTTCATTCCACATTTCTCTACACCCTCAGGCTAGGTTATGTGCCTTCCTCTGCTTTTATAGTGCCCAAAGCATAGCTCTGTCACTTCATACATTACATTAATCTTTTTATATATCTGTCTCTTCAAAGTAGTCCAGAATGTGCTGTTTTTATTTACTTTTGTATCCCAAGCATCTAGCACAGTACCCAAAACACAAAGGTTCTCAGTGTTTTCTGAACACAAGTAAGCCAGAGTTTCAGATTTCTAATGCTTAATCATGACTTCCAGTTCTTTGAGGTAAAGTCAAAGTTCTGAAGCTCTTAGCCATTAAATAGTAATGCTTAGCTTGGGGAAGAAAAATCTGACAAATCCTGACTAAATGGAACAGCAATTGGTTTATCCCAGTTTGAATTTATTCTGCCGAGAATAAGAGCAGAATATTTGTTTTAGGCAAGAACATTATGCTGTAGGTCTTTAAGAACAAACTGTTGTTTGAAAACAACATACCATAATGTAAATTAGTATCTCTTTGGAACTTAGGTGCATGAGGTCAGGGCCTCTAAGGGTTTTATTACTTTTCCCCAGTGCCAAGAACGGTGCCTGATGCATGTTAGGTGCTCAAGAAATATTTATGAAAATTAGTGAGTTCAAAATCAATAGCTGCACTCAACCTTCTTCAGGAAAAACGTTTCGCTCTGTACGAGAATTGCTTCTCTACACTTACATTTGGTTTGTTCCAGGCGCTTGCTGCTGGCGGAGTGGGGTCCATCGTCCGGGTGTTGACTGCCCGGAGAACCGTGTAGTCCAGCAGGAACTGGGCTTCTCCTGTGGGTGTGGGAGTTGCTGGTACAAAGACCAAAACAACCAAATGCCACCACTGCCCTTTGGGTAGCATCTGTTTCCCTCAGCTTTGCCTTCTCGCTTCCTCTTTCGTATCTGTAAAGAAGAAAACCACATATCCATTTTCCTTTCATGAAAATCGGGATAATATATAGGCAATTTTTCAACAGGTGTCATGCTGTCAGAACTATTTCAGTGATACGTATACCAGTCTGTACATAGTATAATTTACATCCAGGTTTAACCACCTCTGTTGGCTGGTGGGTTTTTTTGTTGGCGGTGGTGTTTTTTGGGTTTTGTTTCTGTTTTTGACTAATAGTGATAAATTTGATGCCGATTTCCTAACTCATTGCCAGCCAGAAAATACCCTTATAAAAACATGTTTGAGAGACTGGCAGCTGTTAACATTACAAAACTGGACCATACTTCCCTTATTTAAGCAAAACGTGTTTCTGAAACCGGTGGTGGGTGAACACCACTGCCGAGTTCCAGCTTTGTGTCCGCCTCCAGATTATGTGAGTTTCAGTATACTCCTCCTCTCAGCACCCAGCGATCATGGCCTCTCGATTTCTTTGTGGTCACCAGGGTCCAGAGCAAGGAGTCTTGCTCGACACTAATGTTCCATAAAATGCCAGAGCCTGTTGGGCTTGACCATAAAACTTTTGTTTCAATAATGTGGCCCTACGTGGGAAAACTCCTCCCCATCAGAAAGGACGTGGAAACTGTGATGTAGTTCAAACTCTGGGCAGCCTCTGAATGAAATGCTGTTTTCCTTAGAATAAGGTGACCAGATGTCCCGCTTTTGGCGGGACAGTCCCGATTTTTAACAACTTGTCCCGCATCCCGTTTTAAAAAGCCGTGGGACGCGGGACAAATTGTTAAAAATCGGGACATCTGGTCACCTTACCTTAGAACTATAGTAGCTGCCTTAACCTGTTGCGGTATAGAACCAGTATTGAATAATCCCTATAAATGTGTTCAGTGTTTTTCAGGGGAATTAGGATCTCAAAAGATTTGGTTCAGATCCAAACACACACGCATCGTGTATTTTAGCTCAGTGTTTTTTAAAAAGAAGAAAATGCCACACACAGCAAAAAGTGTTTACTTGTTGGACAAACCAAATCAGTTCTCAAAACAAATGACCGGTGCTTATAAAAAGCTGTTATTCAGTAGCTCCAAATCCAACCACCTGAGTGCATATGACCAAGAGGGAAATCCGCCTGTGCTTCGTATTTACATTGGACACCGTAATCACTGACTTCTGTGAAAACTGGTGCAGAAATCCTGTAAACTCTTTGCTGTTTTTGATACTGCCTTTTGTTTTGTAAAAATTATAAAGCTGAAAAAAATAAAATGTCCGTGTTGATTAATTTATTTTTCTAACTCTTACTCTAGTGCTTAAGAATGTATAGTTTTTTAAAGAGAAAGATTTCCTGTTTTACCACCAGGTTATTGTACGCTTGTCAAGAACTAGTTGGGTACAGGTTTCTAAAACTACTTCCTTCAGCCCTAGCCAGTTTGGCTTTAGTGGGTAGAGCATCGGCCTGGGGACTGAACTATTCCGGTTCAATTTTGGTCAAGGGCAACATGCCCGGGTTGCAGGCTTGATCCCCAGTGGGGGACGTGCAGAAGGCAGCTGATCAATGGTTCTTTCTCATCATTGATGTTATCTCTCCCTCTCCCTTCCTCTCTGAACTCAATAAAAATATATTTAAAAATAAAGCTACTTTGTTCAAATACAAGGTAGTAGAGAAGAGAGTCATTAACGACTTGAGAGCACAGCCTTTGGAGTGATTTCAAAGCTCTCGATGCAGTTGAACACTATATTACCACTGCCCAGGGACCTAGGTCAGACCACAGCAGTGTGGTGAGAGGCAGGGGGAAGGGGGAAATCTGCAATAGAGTCAACAATGAAAAAAGAAGAAGAAGAAAAAAAAAAAGACGTAGACTACAATGTACAAATTAGTCTAGCAGCTATAGTCATTTATCTCCAGCTTCTGAATTGTTCCTGGTGCCTCAAATCTATTTCTTACCTACTCACAGCAACCTCTGTTTGCTTTCCCAATGCATCGGATTTTGGCTTTAAAGCTTCATAAACTTACAGGCAATTCAGAGAGCTGTGAGTTAGGAGAAGCTAAGCAATAGGTATTAAAGATAGTCAAGTGGGTATAGTCAAAACATTTTAAAATGAAGAAAAGTGATTTTGCAACTTTTTTTTTATAAGTTCCTCCATAACATTTTCAAGATTGCACTTTGGGGAAAACTCGAGTTTTATAGTCACAAGAATGAGTGCATTCAAAATCTACCAGTGAATCAGCTTTACTCGGGGAAGATAGTAAAAATATTTCACAATCGGTGCAGAATGGATGCCTACTGGAACCAACTGGCTCCTACTGGAACCAACTGGCTCCACACTGCATCTGATGTCAGCCCAGGTTATACTGACCATGGCACAGTGCGTCCTGCGAAAGGAGATAGTCAGGATGAATCATGGAAAATAGAAATAGGTGAGAGAGCACTTTTTGCCCCAAACTGGTCCTTTACCTCCCATTCTCTTTTACTTGAATCTCAGTGGTTTTGTTTCATTTTTGCCATGTTATTTGCTTTGTCTTTGCCACTTTTTAAAGGGGAAATTGGCCCTGGCTGGTTTGGCTCAGTGGACAGAGTGTCAGCCTGTGGATGAAAGGATCCCAGGTGCAACTCCAGCGAAGGATACATGCCCGGGTTGTGGACTCAGTCCCTAGTGGTGTGTGTGTGTGTGTGTGTGTGTGTGTGTGTGTGTGTGCAGGAGGCAGCTGGTCAATGATCATCTTTCATCATTGATGTTTGTATGTCTCCCTTCCTCTCTGAAATCAATAAAAAATATATATTTCAAAAAAATAAAGGGGGAAATGGCACATACAGCCTTTTTTTGTCATTAGGTAACAGCACCACTTAGGTAACAGTCACACTTGATGGATAGTATGTCTTAAGGAAATCCATTAACACACAAGTGAAATCTAGATCAGTGGTCGGCAAACTCATTGGTCAACAGAGCCAAATATCAACAGTATGACGACTGAAATTTCTTTTGAGAGCCAAATTTTTTAAACTTAAACTTCTTCTAACACCACTTCTTCAAAATAGACTCGCCCAGGCCATGGTATTTTGTGGAAGAGCCACACTCAAGGGGCCAAAGAGCCACATGTGGCTCACAAGCTGCAGTTTGCCTACCACAGCTGTAGATGGTGCAAATTAGCAAAATGCTTCCTTTCTAAGTATTTACTGTGTCCCCCAGTATCAGGTTGGACATGATAGAAAAATAATGTCTGAGCTTTGCTCTCAGCCTAATCGAGAAGATTTAAGCACTTTAAAATTAATGTCATGCCCTTGTATGCATATATGCATAAATCATGGACACAGTGGGGTGGTGAGGACCTGGGTGGGAGGAGAGGGTGGCTTAGAGAGAGGGTGGCAATGGGGGAAAAATAAGGACATATGTAATACTTTCAACAATAAAGATTTTTTTTAATTAATGTCATGCAATTTAGTATTTGACTATAAGTGCAGTTAGTGTTGGGAGGAACAGCGAAGTCGGGGTGGACTGGGGTAAAGTGAAACGGGTCAGCCTGAACTAGGCCTGGAGGGGCAGAAGGGATTCCTGCAACTGATGTGGACAGAGGGACAACAGAGCAAGTTGAAGCAAATTGTTGTCCTTCTTGTGCTCTAATGTTTTCAACATGAAGATCTAGACAATGAAAGTTTATGGGAGATTCAAGAAAGTCATGGGATTATAGGAAATCCTTTTTGTTTTGTTTTGTTTTAGCTGAAACCCATTGATGGTCACTAATCTCATACCTTTTATAGTAGTAAAAGAATGGGAAATTACATTTTATAAGAAGGAAAGCCAAAACCGGTTTGGCTCAATGGATAGAGCATCAGCTTGGGGACTGAAGGGTCCCGGGTTCGATTCCAGTCAAGGGCATGTACCTTGGTTTTGGACATATCCCCAGTAGAGGGTGTGCAAAAGGCTGATCGATGACTCTCTCTCATCGGATGTTTCTAACTATCTCTCTCCCTTCCTCTCTGTACAAAATCAATAAAATATATTTTTTTAAAAAGAAAGAAAGAAAGCATCACACGTTAGCAATAAAGAGCCTCATAGCAAACGGGTCTGAATCATTCTATCCTTTAACTATTTTTTATCATTTATTTATTTATATTTTTTACTGATTTTTTTACAGAGAAGAAGAGAGAGGGATAGAGTGTTAGAAACATTGTTGAGAGAGAATCATCGATCAGCTGCCTCCTGCACACCTCCCACTGGGGATGTGCCCACAACCAAGGTACAGGCTGGAATTGAACCCGGGACCTTTCAGTCTGCAGGCCATTACTCTATCCACTGAGCCAAACCAGTTTCAGTCTTTTTTTATTATTATTATTAAAATGTCTATTATGTTGAAAATGTTTGCTTAAAAGTAGTTCTTTAACATTGAAACATCAAGAGTCCTGCCTTGTGGCCCAAAGTCACACAGATTCATGAACTATAACATAATTAGCAGGCAGCCAGAGCCACTTCCCAGCATGAGGTCATAACATGGCTTTTCATTTCCAAAGCAACATTCTGAGTGCGAGCAGGTGAATTAAACACCAAGGCCACCCTTTATTGAGTCCCATGCCAGTCCCATTGTGTTATTTTATCTTTACTAGTAGAAGTGGATCTCAGAGAATGTATGTAAAGTCACACAATGTATGGGTCCCAGAATCTGACTCCACTCCCATCTGCCTGACTCCAAGGTTATACCATGCTGCTTTCTCAAGTTTAGTGCTTGGGGGCAAATGAGGATGGGGGCTTTCTCTAGAAATCTCAAACCTTAGTGTTTGCAGGGTGCTGCTGAGAGTCCTTCAGAGAGGCGAACGCTGACAGGTTGGAAAGGTGCTATAACAACTAGAGGCACATTCAGCATAGCAATGTTTTCACCAAGTTTCACTTGCCTTTTGATGATTTTTAAAGTGGTGAGGTTAGAGGATATACCCATACCTTTCATAACTCCACTAGAAGAGAGAAAACTGACTGAGGGTTTGGCTTCTCAAAGCATGCAGTTTCTCTTGTGTCTTCCTCCTTACCCAGGATTTTTCATAGGCTCTCTGTTTGCCATGTTTCCATATTTTAACTCAAGCTTCTATTTTAATTAGTTTCGCCATAATTCCATAATTCCATTTTGCAAGAACCAGAGCCTCAATCTCTCGTTTCATTAGCCACGCTGAAGAGATTATTGCCTGTAACTAAAAAATTACTTGCATAATTAATTCCTCAGAATCGCTCTGGCCACCTTCCCTGTAATGGTCTGGGGCTCCATTTTAGGGGTACCACCCATTGAAGCTCATCTCTGTCTACCCTCCTGGAGTGCCCTCACATTTCGAGCTTTTGCAGGGGAAATCATGAAGAAAGCAGGACCCCTGAAATAATGCTGGGCTTGAAGAAATTGGGTTCAAAATCATGGACCTGTGTGGGTAAGGACCCAAGGCACCAACCCAACAGCACATAGTGTGCTCTGGTGTGGCCCCATCATGTGCCACCCGCCTGTGGTCAGCTTATATGGGTTTGGCTAGGTTCTCACCTGCCGTTGTCCATCTCCGCCCTCCCACAGTTCTCCAATGGACTCAAAATGTCTGAATTGCTTCTTTCTAAATTGAGAAAAGGCTGGTTTTTATTTCCATGGGTTGCTTTCACTAGCAGTTGAGCAAATAAGTCAAAAATCTCAGACTAATTTTTAAATACATTATCTCCCCTTTAGATTGACCAGTAACTTTGCCTTGCAGGCTGAAAGAGCCGGAGAGTGGCAAAGCGATTGGGAATGGGAAGACAAGTCTGATAAAAAGCAAATCTAACAGACCCAAAACGGTTTAGAAAGGGGTGCTCTGCCATGGACCTTCCCCCACTCCTCTCTCCACCTTGGCCCAGCACCACTAATAGAATATGTGCGGACTCCAGGGTCGAAATGGCCTGTGTACCAGAATGCAGGTGCCTCTGGTACTAATCAAGATACAGCATGTCATCCGCCTCAAGGTGGTGCCATTTCACCACACGGACGAGCCAGCCACGCCACATGGGACATCGCAGAGTTCAGGCTGACATTTCTGTTTTCCTTCATCATTCTTGTTACTTGGATGTTTAGAAATAATACACATAAATTGTCTAGGATTACATCTCTTATTTCACTATGTAACACTTCCGTAAGGACCATATACATCAAACAGAGACTGAATAGAACATGACTCCCCTGAACTTCAGTCCAGCATGCTAAGACTCCCATGTTTCAGCCCAGCATTGAGCTAATACTCTCTAGGACAAGCATGTCAAACTCATGGCCCACGAGCTGCATGCCTCATTTATTTGGCCCATGTTAGCCTTCGAATTTGACATGTTTCCTCTAGGATATACCCTCTCAACCCTTCTACTAGACTATACAGCCTTCCTGAAGTCACAGTAGCTGTGTCTTACTCATTCTCCACAGTCCCTTGACATAGCTGATGCTCAACCAATATCTAGTGGTTGCAAAATAATGATTGTATACACTGGTCCAGGGGTGCCTGAACAGGACAATACATCAGAAGCACACACTGAAAACTAAACAAAGAATAAAATAATTCCACTTGGGTTCAAATAGCTTATATCCAATCAAGTTTAGTCACAAACCAATTCACTTCAATGTGGACATTTAGGTAGAGAATTAATCAGATTTAGGCAGAAATTAGAGCCACCATAGGCAGCATGTGCAACCTTTATACTATGTAGCTATAAGCAAGTCACCAGAGAATGTAGCTAAGGAGAATTCCAGCTTACCTCTGGCTGACAGTGGCATCATGGGTATTTACGTGGAACAAACAGCTTTCATTGTTCCATGACTCAGCTTCACCTTCTAAGATCAGAAATGTTTCCCAATACCTTCTGTTTCCCTTAAGTGTAAAAATCACAAAATAGTATCCATGAACTTATATCACTTTTCTTTTATATATATATATAAAAGAATTGAACCTGGGACCTTTCAGTCCACAGACTGACGCTCTATTCACTGAGCCAAACCTGTTTCGGCTATCACCTTTCTTTACTCCATTTATAGAGTTTTTAATCATGTCAATTCTTAGGGTAATGAATGCCAGGAATAGACAAGGCCACTGAATAACATCATGTTTTTCTCTATCCAAAAACTGAACCAAGATTCCAGAAATACCTCTACATTAAGGTTTTCTTCAATTTGATGACCAAATCAAAGGGCAGTGTATTCACAGGCATATAATTTTGTAATTTTATTATTTTCAAGTAAGTTAATTTGGCCCTAACCAGTTTGGCTTAGTGGATAGAGTGTTGGCCTGCAGACTCAAGGGTCCCTCCCAGGTTCGATTCCGGTCAAGGTCATGTACCTTGGTTGCAGGCACATCCCCAGTAGGGAGTATGCAGGAGGCAGCTGGTCGATGTTTCTCTCTCATCGATGTTTCTAACTCTCTATCCCTCTCCCCTCCTCTCTGTAAAAAATCAATAAAATATATATTTTTTAAAATAAGTAATTTGCTTATAAGCTTCAATATTTTCTTTTTATTTTTCCTCCCACCCAAGTTTCCCTTTTAACAATTAACAAATATTAGTAAATCCTTGGGCATTTTCTCAGCTATTGTGTATGCATTTATAAGCAAATATCTATATAATTCTTATCCTCTTTGTTTCTATAAATACTAGAAAAGTCTACATAGTGTTCTGTGCCTTGCTTTTTCAGTAACAGTATACTTTGGCAATAATTTCCTATCAGTACATAAAGAACACCCTTATTCCTTTTTATGAATGCATAATATTCTATTGTAAAAAATAAATGTACTGGAACGTCCCTGTTTCCCTGTTGATTTAGGTGACTTCTAATCTTTTGCAATTACAAGCACTGCTACAAATGAATAACATTGTACAACATTGCACAAGCCTTTTCACATATGTTGTAAGCCTTGTTATAGATTAATTCCTAAAAGTGTTTAGGTCAAAGGACGTGCATCTATCATTTTGACAGGTATTGCTAGATTGCCATCCTTATAAGTCATATCAACTATCCTTCCTTCGTCAGTGTAGGGGAATGCTTGTTTTCCCATCTCTTCGCCTTCCCTATGTGTTTGTGATCAAACACTTTTGTCTTTGGAAATCTGATAGGTTACACAAGGTATATATTGGGATATATATATGCATGAGGTTGAACATGTTTTCATATGTTTAAGAGCTGGTTGTATTTCTATATTTCATTTGTATATGTATTCCTGTGTATTTTTATGTTTTTTGTTTTTCTGCATTTTCTTTGACCACTTGATGGCCTTTTCATTTCTGATTTGTAAGAGCTCCTTTTATCATAGGGATATGCCTTTTGTTTGCAATAGAAATGTCAGATATTTTCTCTAAGTTGATCTTTTGACTTTATGGTGGTTTTTGTTATGAATAAAAAGTTATTTCATTTTTACATAATTACATTTACTTATCTTTTATAGCTTTTAGAGTTCAAGTCATGATTAGTTTGTCCACATGCAAGAGTCCCACAGAGCTCCTAATTGTCCAGTTTGGCTGCCTTTCTCAGGACTTGAGGGCATTTTTCTTAAGAGATACAGCTACAGCCCTAGCCAGTTTGGCTCAGTGGACAGAGCATCAGACTGTGAACTGAAAGGTCCCAGGTTTGATTCTGGTCAAGGTCACATGCCTGGGTTGTAAGCTCTATCCCCAGTGAGGGGCTTGCAGGAGGTAGCTGATCCATGATCCTCTCTCATGGATATTTCCATCTCTCTCTCCCTCTTACTTTCTCTCTGAAATCAATAAAAATATATTTTTTAAAAGATACATAGCTACAACTACCCAAAACATTTTCTATGTTAAGGTACAATTCTAATGTCGTTCAATCAAATATCTACATTCAATCTGCTAGATAGAGAATGTAACATACAATTCTTATCTTTCAGGACCTAGATTTTAGTTGACAGACCCATAAGCAGCAACTGCTATTCTGTAAGGAACAAGCTATTGTAGAGGAGGGAATAGTCAGGTAGACTCTCAGATGCGGAGTAATTACCTCTTCAAGACTGAATGTTAGGGGAAAGCCTCAAAACCCATTTCACTGGGTTTTGAGGGCTCCATAGGAGTTTGCCACAAAAAAGGAATACCATGATATCAGAAATCACATAATTAGTCGGCATTCCAGAATCCTGCTCCTTATTGGTATTAAATCAAGATGATCAAATGATACTATTGTACCATGAAGTGATTGAGCACTGCTTTCAATTTTTCTTGGTCCTCGGAAAAAAAACAAGCTTCCTAAACTTGGATATCATACCCAGTGTTTATTCTAGCTGGAGGAAAAACAGCTGCTGCTGAGACAGTCACTTAGGAGTGACATGCCGCAGATGGTGGGCCAGGAAGTATCTAGGCAAGACACATGCTGTTTGATTGTGAGACTCTGGGGTGCTGTGTTGAGTAGAACACAGTGAGGCCCAGGAAGAAGCTGGGTTTTAAAAGGGTATAGTTATGGCATACACATACCATTCAATTGTATCCATAGCAGCGGTTCTCAACCTGTGGGACCCCACTAGCAGGGTCACCTAAGACCATCAGAAAGCACAAGATATTTATATTACGATTCATAACAGTAGCAAAATTACAGTTATGAAGTAGCAATGAAAATAATTTTATGGTTGGGGATCACCACAACATGAGGAACTATATTAAAGGGTTGCAGCATTAGGAAGTTTGAGAACCACTGAGAATAAAAGTCCCCTAGCATTCCTCCCATCTCCCAGAGATAAGCAGTGTCAATACTTCCCACACCTGTGCTATGGTCATATTCTTTACTCAGTTACCAAAAAGGTATCAGCAGAAACTGGTTTGGTTCAGTGGATAGAGTGTCGGCCTGTGGACTGAAAGGTCCCGGGTTTGATTCCGGTAAAGGGCATGTACCTTGGTTGCAGGCTCTCTCATCGATGTTTCTAACTCTCTATCCTTCTCTCTTCCTCTCTGTAAAAAATCAATAAAATATATTTAAACAAAAACAAAAAGGTATCAAACTCTTCTTTAGATTTTTGTTTTGTGTTGTGTTACTTAACTCAGTAGGCTAGCCATTTTTTAGCATCAACGCATGCAGATCTACCTCATTCTCTTCCTATACACATATCATAATCTATTTAATCATTTGATTTTTAGAAAACGTCTTACTTATTATAAAGAGTACTGGAATGTGTGTGTGTAGGGAAGGCATGGTATTTGCATATTTGAGTATTTCAGCAGAACAGGTTTCTAGAAGTGGAATGCTGAAACAAAGCTTGTTATTCTCCAGAAAGATTGTACCTATGTCAACTTTTCCAAAGCTGACAGCCAGCCCTTTTTCAGAGTGAAGTCCCTGGATAAACTGGTCTTGTTGCCTTTTAAGGAGACCCAAGATCCTATTAATTGTGGGAGCATCTCAATTAAGAAAAATTCCTCCTCTATCAAAGGCCATGGCCGCAGTCAAAATACCTCCCATCGATTCTCAACTGACTCAGTTTCAACTTCTCGTCTCTGTGCCAGTACTTGACAGGAAATGAAGCGTCACCCACATAGCCCAGCCCACACCACCAGCAGGGTGACACTGAGATGCCCCACAAGACTCCTCATCCCCACAGGACATCCATGTGACTGCTGAGTCTGGCATAGACCCACCGATACTCCATCATGAACTTCACAGAGGTCAATGGGTGATCGAGTTCCTTCCCAAGCAGGCGGAGGGGAGGAAGGTTGCTTGGGCTTCTGGGGGGGCAGGGTCCTTGGTGCAGGCAGCCCTCTGACCCAGCAATCTGAGCTAGGGTGGGAGGAGCTGAGGAGTTCAGAGCCCACAACCCCAAACAACAGCTGACACCCAAGGTCAGACCATATTGTGCACAAATCCAGGCTGTATTGGTCCCAGTTACAAGACTGCACTCACGATCTCCCATAAAAAGGGAGCACTCTGGTCCTAACCAGTTTGGCTTAGTGGATAGAGCATTGGCCTGTGGATTAAAGGGTCCCAGGTTCAATTCCAGCCAGGGGCACATGCCTGGGTTGCAGGCTCGATCCCCGATCCCCAGTGTGGAGCATGCAGGAGGCAGCCAATCAATGATTCTCTCTCATCATTGATGTTTCTATCTCTCTCTCCCTCTCCCTTCCTCTGAAATTAATATATATATATATTTTAAAAGGGGAGCACTCAGGTGCTGATGACATGTGTGTACACACATTCACTACCTGTAAATCATGCTTCCAGAGAGAGAGGGAGGGAGAGGCACTAGGGGACAGGTCCCATAGTAAATCCTGTCAGCCTCATCCATGCACACCTCTCCTCAGAGAGTAAGGCACGGTGGACCTTCTGCCCTCAGTTCCAGCCGGTACCAAGCGAGCTGCCCTGTTGGCCGGGAGCCCTTTGCCCATCAATGGTGCACCCACTGTTGATAGTCAACAGGACAAGGGATGGAGTAACAGAAAGCAAGCAGCTCCACAGTAACAGCATCTGCCGGTGTGATGCTGTGAATTACTGATGGATGACCCCCCACCCCTCACCCTCCCCGTTATTTTGTGACCTTCCCCCTACAAGCCAGTGCAGAAACAGGAGGCTGCCATTTGTCCCAGAGGTGACTTGGCTTGCTGGAGCCAGAGAAGAAAGACAGGAAATTGTTGGCTTTTAAATCCAAAAGTAATGGCCCTTTGGGAGCACTGAGGGATGGGATGGAGGCATGGGGAGTGCTGGCTGAGCCAGTCTTCTCCACTCTCCACCACCCTGCCCTGCTTCCACCTTCCCCGCCCCTGAGGAGAAGACAAAGAAAGGAGAGAGATCGGCTGGACAGGGACTCATCAGAGAGGTGCTGAGGGCCATGTCTCCAAGGAAGGAGATGACACCCCTGGAAAAGGTTGGGGGTTTTGGAAAAGGTTGAAGCTTTCAACTTCAAGTATCTACATGTGCCTTGTACGCAGAGAACTAAAAATAGAGAGTTTGGAGGAACTCTCTACAGACTTATTTTTGCCTATCTGTATCAGTGGAAAGTGCCTATTTGCCACAAAAGTACAATTCTCTGGAGTGGATGTTTTTTATTGCATTCTGCATCACCCTTACCACGAAAATACATTTTGCAAGCCTAAAAGCACATGTGTGTTCTAGCTGGGACAGTTATGGGCTTAGCTCCAGTCCCTTGGAGATTTCCATCCAGAGGGGCAGCGCAGACCTGAGTGGGAAAAGAGGCGGCCCTAGATTTCACATCTCTTCTTGCCAAGAAAGACATGTTTCCCAGCCCCTGGGCCCAGGCCGGCCACACCGAATTAGAGAAAGAGAGCCACAGGGCAATGAGGCTCCTTTCCCATTTTACTTCCTCATCCCTGAATGTTTTGAGTTGAGGAGGGGACACCCAGGGACCAGAGGAGTGAAAGAGGGTTCAGTTTGCCTGGGGGCCCGTTACAGAGCAGCCAAAAAGAGAAGCTCGGAACAAGGGCCTCCAGGAGCCAGGATCTACCACCTGGACACCCAGGCCCTTTTTCTGTCTCCCCTCCCCACACCCAGCCCAGCCTGGGCCTCCCCCACATGTGGAAATGTCCCTCTTGTTCGCCCCCAGCAGGGAAGGTTCGGTTCTGAGAGCTGAACTGGGGGATCAATTGGCCCAAGGTAACAGGTGGGGTTTGTTTGTTTGTTTTCTTTTTCAAGTTCAAGGGGAGCAAATGAACTTAAGATTCTACAGTTTTCCCTCCTCAAATGAGTGCTTGGTGAACGGAAGGATGAAGCAATCTGAAGTGCAGAAACCCTGTCTTAGATGCTATCATGGTTGGGAAATAGTTTCTCCATCAAGAGCAATAACGATAACCAATCAAACGCTGGCTCAAGATTTAGCAAACTTGACGGAGAAGAGTCATTTGAGAGCTAGAAAGCTGTCAGCATTATAAGAGGCACCGAAAATCTTTTTTTAATTATTAATTTTCAATCCTCATTCAAGAATATTTTTTCCATTGATTTTTTTTTTTTTTTTTTTTTTTTTTTAGAGAGTGGGAAGAAGAGGAGAGACAGGGAGAAATGCCGATGTGAGAGAGACACATCAATTGGTTGCCTCCCGAATGTCCCCCCAACCTCCCAGGACCCTGAGCCTGCAACTGAGGTATGTGTCCTTGACCAGAATGGAACCTGGGACCCTTCAGTTCATAGGCTGACGCTCTATCCACTGAGCCAAACCGTCTAGGGTGGGGCATAGAAAATTTTATTAAAAGCCACCTGGCTGATGGACAGCCAAAAACAAAAAAAGGCTCCCTTTGGTTCACCCAAGATGGCATATTGGAGCAGCCGGCCAGCTGGAACACTAATTCTGAAAAGAGGAGGCAGAATTTCCTGGAATCTATTTGTTCAGAGCCCTAAGAGATGAAGCATAAGCCTTTTTCATCTGCTGGAAATGGTGTGCAGCCCACACAAACAGAGCTGATTTTCACACGGCCTGTTCTTGTTCCCATCGGTTCACACTGGCTCTTCTTAGCACCTCCAGCCACGTGTAAGCTTTGTGGGGCAAGGATCTCAACCGCCCCTCTGCGTAAGAGGCCATTGGAGTATGCAGACTGGGGCTTTGTCATTGTCTGAAGCCTTAACTAAGCTTGACACCAACCCTGGGTTTCAGTTCTCCTTTTCCTCCTCTCAGTTAAAACAACAAGTACACAGATTGATGAGAAGATGATTATCCTGAGGTTTAGCAGTTAATTCAGAGATTCATCCTGGTGACCTTTTGCCTAAACAAAATGAGTGAATTGCTGGACCTTGAATTGCTAAATTTAAAACTTACACACTTGACATCAAAACATAACGAAGGGCCGAAACCGGTTTGGCTCAGTGGATAGAGCATCAGCCTGCAGACTGAAAGGTCCCAGGTTCGATTCCAGTCAAGGGCATGTACCTTGGTTGCGGGCACATCCCCAGTAGGGGGTGTGCAAGAGGCAGCTGATTGATGATTCTCTCTCATCGATGTTTCTAACTCTCTATCCCTCTCTCTTCTTCTCTGTGAAAAATCAATAAAATATATTTTTTTAAAAAACATAACGAAGGCCCAATTGGGTCAGAAAGCATCTGACTTAAATATATATAAATATATTTGTTATTGATATCAGAGAGGAAGGGAGAGGGAGAGAGAGATAGAAACATCAATGATGAGAGAGAATCATTGATCAGCCGCCTCCTACACACCCCTCTTTGGGGATAGAGCCCCCAACCAGGGCATGTGCCCTGACTGGGAATTGAATCTTGACCTCCTGGTTCATAGGTTAGCGCTCAACCACTGACCCATACTGCCTGGGCAAGCATCTGATTTTTAAAGCTACTTTATGGTCAACTAAACATATATTTTTTTATTCCACTGAATTCCATATATACCCCCCAAAATGACAAGCAGGACTCTGCTGAGTTTCTGGGTCTTGCAGCTGGTGCCCGGGTTGCTATAGCGACCCAGGGAGTTGATTTCAGAGTGAGCACTTGTCTGAGGACTCTGCTTGGAGCCTGAAAACAGCTCAGTGGGGGCAGTTTTCAGACACAGAATTAAAATGAAAGCCCCAGGGAGCAAGGATTCGCCTGCTTCCTCCCCAGGCAGAGCAAATCTAATTAAGGATTTATCTCCATTTGACTTTGACAAATGACCTCAGCAACATTATATTTGTAGGTTCATGTAGCATCTCAGGAAAGCCAAGAGTCAACCACAACCACCAGTCCCGCCAGCAGGGCCCGGGAGCCCAAGGACACCTGGGGCCTGAGCCAGAGGGGAGTTCTCAGGCCTGTCATGCAGCCCCACGGGACCTGAGAAGCCATGGCTGAGGAGATGGATGGAGCAGTAGGCTCTGCCCCCTTCAGCTGCAATGAATGTGCCTGAGGCAGAGCCCATGGGGCTAGGTCCTTGCAGGCAAAAGCACCTCAGCTGGCAAAGACTACGCCAGGGGTTCCCAAATTCCAAATGTCTCTTTAAAAGCTGGCTGTTTTATATTTATTTGCCTTTACTGGAACTTGTTTGGGGCCAGGGGGTGAGGAAACGTGTCTAGTTGATTTAAGCTTTTAAAGAGTTCAGAGGTCAAGGTTGCCATGCAGAGTGCCCTGGGCAGCCCTTGAGTTGGAAGCCCCCACCTTCTCGCCCCCCAGCCGCCTCTTCCCCAGCTCCTGAAGTCGGCCTTAACCGCCTCTGCCTCAGCCGCACAGCCCAGCTGCTTCCTGGGGCTTGCTTCTCCCACAATGAGTTTCCTACCGGGAGAGACTCCATTTCTGATAGACTGGAGCAGTGGTTGGCAAACTCATTAATCAACAGAGCCAAATATCAGCAGTATAACCCTTGAAATTTCTTTGGAGAGCCAAATTTTTAAAACTTAAACTTCTTCTAATGCCACTTCTTCAAAATAGACTCGCCCAGGCCTTGATATTTTGTGGAAGAGCCACACTCAAGGGGCCAAAGAGCCGCATGTGGCTCTCAAGCCATGGTTTGCCGACCACTGGACTGGAGGGTCCTAGATTGAGCCCACGATCCCAAGGACACCAGATAAGAAGAGCCGTGGTGCTGGGGCTGCCCCGCTGCCCAGCTTATCCCAAGGAGGCCTGATGGCCAGACCCAACGCCGGCTAAGCCCACCACAAGAATGCAGCCACTCTCCGCTCCTGACGAAACATGTCTCGTCTCCCTTCTACTCTCTTGCTCATACCCTGCCATGGAAATTCCACAAGCCAGCTTTTTCAGTTTTTCAAAAAGCATACCCTTCTCTGGTAGGCAGACAGGCAGACATGAGCAGAGCAAGGACAGCGGGCCAGGAACAGAAGGTCACCAGCACTGAAAGCCCTGGGTGTCTAGCAGAGGACAACTGGAGGGTGGGACCTTATCCCCAGGGTGACCGTTTCTTCCCTACCCTATCGCTGGTCATGTGGTTTGGACCCTCTTACCTCTCCTCCCTAGAGATAATGTGTAGGCCTCAGCTGTATTTCAGCTCCAGGCCCAGAAAAGCAGCCAAACCAGACCAGGCACTCCACCTCTGACCTCTGACCTCGGGACCAGCTGCACTGACTAATGACCCTGTGCCCTGGAGCCCACCAACCAATCCCTGGAGGCTCAACCCTGAAAGGATACACCTGGGAAACGGCTGAATCTTCTATTGAGATCTTCTCCTGAGACCTCCCCTAAAATCTCCATGCCTTCCCCTCTCCCTCCTACCCCCCTTCACTCTTCTCTCCCCTGCCTCCACCCCCAGGAAAAAT